TGCCTAATGAGGTTCATTCAGCACGACTGAACCTGGTACACGCGGTCAGGACATCAATCCCATTATCAGGCCCTGGTACCAGGTCAGCAAACTCCCGTAACTATCGTCGCCTACGATTCTACTACCTGATCTATTCTATCCCTCTGTTGCCGTCATACATTTTCGGTAATGAGCCACTAATTGGCAATTGCGTCGAATTGCACCCTAAATGCGCCCAACAGGGCCCTATCCTCGTGCTGTTACACATAGTGCCCTTTTAGACGGCAAAAGCGTTCTTGCGTGAAACGAGCAGCGTCACTCTGATAGTCGTGAGTGTTATAGCTCAACGTGACGTTTATCGTTACATTCTCGAAATCGATTCACGCGAAACGACTTGATGCTTTCGAAATGCGACTTTGAAGACGAAATGCTATCCTTAGAAAGCAACAGCGACTCTCTTCGTGAAATACTGGAGTGCTTTGAAAACTGCAAGAAATTTAGTTTGTTGTATTTTAGAAATATATTACTAATATTATTCTGACAATATATAATTTGTGAAAATTTATTTTTATACGTCTGCTCTTTTCTTTTCGTCATGTTATTAATATAAATGTTTGAAGACAATTTTTTTATAATTTAAAAATTAAAGAAAACGATTTGCAGACTAGAAAAATAAAATTTTTTTATAACTTGTACTATTAAACGAATATTAATATTATATCTCTAAAATATAATAAACTTTTAACAATTCTTCGATCAATTTAATGAATATTAGATTTTTTAAATTAATGTTGATCTAAGATTAACTATAATAATAAATAATTATAAATGTTAATAAGTAATACTCATAATAATATAATAATCTATGCTATATGTAAAATAGATTTTTACCGCATATGATTATCAATTAAAATATATCATGCGCTTTAATGAATGAAAATTACTACAAAAATCGATATTCTGACGGAACCGCTAAAACTGAAGTAATTGTCAACGAAAAAAACGCAACCTCCGTACAGGAGTAACGCCACGCAGGTGTGGTCTGCGGTAATAAATTACCCGTAAGCGGTAACAGCGAGCTGCGACGGTCAGGTGCACTGACAAAAACCAACTAGAATGGATTATTAATTACGATATTACGTCGACGCGCCATCCGAAGGGACCGAAGAGCACGGGGAAGAGCCATGGAGGTTGAGAGACGGGGGATGAGGGTTCTTCGACGGTATGCGTGCACATTGTCCCGGCAATAGGATTCTCGTCCAAATTAGGCAATTGTTGGTCGGGATGAAATGTACTTTTCCCTCGTTGAATTGAACATTCAATCCCGTTACAGTGCGAAACAACGTTCATTCGGTCTGCCACAGGTCCGATTTGAGCTTTGCGGATTTTCAGAGGACTCGCGGATACGGTCGGATAATTATTTCATCACCGATAAAGAGGAACGAACGAAAAGAGATCATTAATGGCACTTTCCTATCGAGTATATTAATTTCCATCATTAAGCGGCGGGAATTGCGAAATTCTGTTAAAATGGATAGGCCCTGTTAAAATAGATTAATGTGCGCGGATGCTTTTCAGGGCAATTAGTGCGGCGAACATAATTATTCTAATTAAAGCCACAATTAATATTAATTCCTTTTGAGATGATTTTGCTAAACTAATAAGGAATATCTTTTTAAGTTTCCCAAGAGATTAAAAATATGGCGTGTACAAAATAATATTTTATACACGTCATACTCTTTTAATCTCTAATCGCAATATATTACACTTTAATCGCCATATGCGTGCACGTTCTCGATTTCAACAATAACGAAAATAAATAACTAATATTTCGTTTATAGGAAGCCTCTTGTAAAAAAAGCGGAAACTCATGATAAAAATTATGTACGAAACATTGTGACAGATTGTAGCATTACAAAATAAAACAGTTTTATCTAGAGGAATTATTTAAACGATGTCCTAGACTTTAACGTTGCAAATTTTAATGATTTCATCCAGGCGTTTCATTTGAATGATGTCCGAGAGGCTCCCTTTAGGAGATCGATACTTTAAACGAAAAACTGCAATCGATATAGACGCAGAATAAAGCGTATCACGTTCAATTAATTCAGCCCATACGTTTATATCTGATAACCACTGTATTTTAATCGAGTGCAATACTCATAACAATTATTATGGACGACTATTTCGATATCGCGAATATACATTTTTCATCAATTATCCAAACGAAATACGATAGCTGTGCATAACAGAGAAAAACGAATTTAAAGATATAATTGGCAATACTAATTTATATGAAACACGGTGTACATGTCTAGAAAACAACGCTTCTCATTTGTTCATGTGGACTTTAATGAACATTTGATCGTCGTTAAGGGCATCCGGGACTTACCTTCATGGTCTGTAAAAACTTCAACTTCCGGTAGAACTTCTACGGATCCGCTCTCAGTTTCTAAACTTCAGTAACTTCAACATTCATTTCTCAGTTGAGTCACCTCATTAACTTCACCTTGCAATTTAAATTCAGATCTAATTTTGCTGCGTCCGTCCCAATATCTGTCTCGGAAGCTACGCGGTCATTAGAATATTTTGAAGTTCCTTTTTCGCTCTTTCTCCCTGTCTTTATATCTTCATCGTTATTTTTAATTCTTTCGGTTTACGTGAGACATCATTCGAAGTTTTCCAATCCTTTTCTTCCAAGGTTATAAAAATCTACTTGATATCCTGAAGAGCTTTATCTTGAATACTTTAAGTAAAAATTGTATGACGGAATCAAATAAAACTTTCATATTATAAACACTACTTATATATCAATTTTATTTTTTTTCGCGTCAATGATCTTGACTGTCCCATCATGCGAATCCTAATAAAAATAAAATCAAATTAGAAATTCCTATGATAAATGTTTACACTAAGCGCTTTCTGTTATTAGACTTATGTTCACTACTTCAAATGGATGTAACAATATTGTTTTAAATTGCTATGCCTGCTGGTTCAGTTCATACACGATTCTCACTCATTACAGTTGTTTGTTGTCTGTATATACATTTTGTGTATTTTTAGAGGGCTTTCTCTAGATAATGAACTGTTCTGTTGTTGCCACAACTATCGTTCCATTAGTTTGTATTCCGATATAATGTAAAATTTCGCCTCTATCCGCCACACGTTACTACGAAGGAAAGTTTACTCCAAAATTAGTAAGCCGGAGTATAGGAGAGAATATCAGAAACAAGTAGAGTCGCAACGACAAATGGATGGATGGATAAAGTATACGCGCGAGATACGCGACCGCTAATTGCGTTTGTCATACCGATAATTAATAATGCACCGCTCAGCGCGACGACTGACCGGCGAATTAAATGCATTAACGAAGATAATCGGGTTGCGGTGAATGCCAAATCGAAAATACACCGGCAGGGAGTTATTGAATGCAAACGAGGCCACGATCAATCATCCGGCTCAGCTACTGGCTTTCGACGCCCATAATGACGTTCCGGCGCTTTGCATCGCAATCATTGATTAGGGAGAAGGAAAAGGGGAAGAGAGAGAGAAAAGAGAGACAAAATGCGAATGAGTTTTCTCTTAATGGCCGGAAATAAAACCGAGGAGAATTAAATAGATGACGAGACTCAATTGCTCACTTTACACAGCAAATAGTGTATTGAAAAAAAAAACCATTATTGTGAAACGATTATCGTTATAGAATTAATCGACAATGAGCAGTAAGCGCACTCCGTATAAGTTATTGCAGAGCGTTTGCTTGGATTGTCATATGCTGGTTGCCAAAATTGGGAAAGTTACTTTATAAGTTACTTTTTAGGTTATATGTTTGCTACAAAAATTGAGTATAAAAAGTTATACAATATTAAGGCAAATATTAAAATATAATATAAAAAAATAAAATACATTGTACTCAATTTCTATAATAAAATTAACTTACAAGTAATTTGTAAAGTAACTTTCCCAATCCTGCCGACTGCATAACGAAAAATATCGCATAATCACACGACTATCCTTCCGCTAATCTTTAACTCTACATTACTTGCGTGGAATACTTTTATTCCAATATTATATCTCAGCTTTCATTATTCTTTGACGATTTATAATTAAAAATTGATAATATTTTAGACATCTCTTAAATAAATGCAAACATTTTGTTTAATTGTGAAACAATTTGCGCTAAATATAATATGCATGAATAGCATTCATAAAAATAGCATTCATATTTTGAAATTTGAATCTTATAATTCTAAGACCACGATCGAATTCAGCGATTCCGAAAACCCATAGAAAATAAAATCTTCCATAAGTTATTTTGTTAGAAAGCTCCGGTCTTTAAAGGATTTATGACATATTGAGAAGTAGTGATGACTTACAAAAACGATTAAAAATATAATGATTGGCTGAGATTCCGCTATGATAGATCGATTTAATTTAACACATCGATTTGGAACGCACATTTTATTAATAAAAAGGATAGGAACATAATACGAATATCACATAATACGAAAATGTACGAAAATACTATAGTATATATAGTATTACGCTTATGCTATATAAGTTTCCTTAGTATTTTTATATGCAATACTTTTCACAAACAAGATCCTAAAGTAATGATGAATCGAATAATGAACGAAGATAGTAGAAATAACTCCTCGTTAACATTGCGCATAGTGCCTTTTATACTGTGTATTCACGCTCGCATCTTTCGACGCACGAACGCTTAGGCAGCTTGAATTTCCAATTACCGTTCCTAATTGACACCACCACTGCCCGTAGATAGCGTTAGAAACTCACCGCTTTTATTTCCGCATTCGCTTTGTTGCGTGCATGCTCGTTCGCGAGACCGCTAAATAATCCCCGGTACCACCCTCGAACGCGCAGATTTCGCGATCGGCGACGGCGGCGGCGGTTTCGCGATTTTTTCTTCTCTTTTTTTTATCCGAAACGCGGAAAGAGAACAAAGGGCGATATTCGGAAGGATCGGAATGATTAATTACGCGTCGCGGACGGCGGCGACGATGGCGGAGGAGACGGCGATGGGCCGTCGGATGGTGGATTTCATTTCCGGAAGAAGCGGCGGCAACAGCCGACGACAACAATCGCGTACAACATTAACGTACGCTCTATTGCTGATAGTGTGCACCGAATTAACAGTATCCCACTGTTGCTACGTCTTCCCGAAAGGTATTCCCGGAATGGGCAACAAACAGTCATCCCTCTCATCTCCTATTCTCGTCGTCAACAACAGGATCCACGCCGTCATAATCGAGATATTGCGCGACAATCTTAAAGGACTGAATTACACTACACGAAAGTAGTGTACATCGGAACTTCCGGGAAGTTCCAGCGCACATTTACATATTATTCTGTAAATTAATGGCTGTACCTTCAGCGAAAAAGTAGCTTTGCTATTATTATAAAATATGATAGACTTAGTTCTTTTCCTCACTGGATCTAAATGTATGAATCGATATATTAAAAAATCTCACAATAGTTGTGAACAAAGCTGCTTTTTCTGCTAAACGCAGCCAATGAAGCGAGGCTGCTGTAAGTCATTTTAGCAACATGTTTCAAAACTGAAACACAAGTCTACGCGTGAATATCTGCAACAGATGCTGGGGTGCTTTTCTATTTCTTTCCTCGATCATGCTCTAAAATTGAAGGGTGTGTATGTGGCACAACCTGAAGCATTGATCAATAATTTATGACAAACTTTGTTAAGCCATGGCTATTACTTAACATTATTATTTAAATAAGTTTATACATATTAATTATGCACTACTCAATAAAGCTTATTACACATAGCTGACTATTGAAGGTCATAATAAATTTTCATGTAACAAGAGTGATTTTGTATTATGAAACTTTATAGTCATTTTAATTAGCTATACTTAAAACAACGAAAATAAAAAATGTTTTATAATTTTTATCACTTTTTTAAGACAAAATTTTATATATAATTTATATTCCATATATTTTTATGCATATATTCATTTCAATAAATATGTAACGTGTGCGTATATATTTTCACTTTTTAAATATTTCATTATTACACACAATATAAATTTATAAACAGAATCCTATCCTGAATATATCATACATTCTAAAAGGAATTAAACATTTAAAGTGACCTGTTTTTTAATCCTTCAATCCATGGGATACTCATATCAAATTAAAAAAATTTTTTAATTTTTTAATTTTTATGTAAATTTCGTTATGATCAAAAACCCTACCTTTTGAATAATAAAGAACAGTTTTGCACAGCCCTTATTCCGTTTCCACTTTTACATATTTTGCAGAAACCTTGTCAAACAAGATAGTGAAAAATTATGCCTTAATAGAAGAGTTAAAGTCAATCATTTAATATCTTCGATTATATTTTGATACAGAAAGATTAATTTTCTCTCGGAAAAATAAAATATGCTCCTTCTTAACAAAACCATTCGAGACATCAGTTCTTATGTCCGTGTCACGTTGTGTCAATGATTCACGCAGTAACCATCACGTCCACTTTCTCGAAAAATATATCTCGTCGGTTACGACGCCCATCTACATCAAAAATATTCAGTTGGGGGCTGCAAATTTCTTTTATGCGCGATAAAATTTTAATGGAGCACAAACTACCCTCCTTTTTTTTTCGCTTCCCTCCTCTCTCTCTCTCTCTACACACATATATTCACGCATGCACACATACATACTCTTTCAAGTCGGTCCTTAGGGATTAATGATCTGGCACGTCGAGCCGCGCGATGCCCCGCAGGCGGGACACGCGCCTGCTTCCTTTTTCCTGCCGCCGCACCGCCAAAAACGGCGCGTAAATTCCGTCGCGAAATGAATCCCAGTGGGCGATAGTTTATTCATCGCGAATCGCGCGGATTTAATTTCACGGCCCGTAACGTACAGTACGTACACGCGCGTCTGGCGTGTTTACGGCCTGCAATTACATTTCGGCGGCGGTGGTACGGGCTCGCGTTACGGAAAAAATATCATTGATTAAGCTCCGCGAAAATACGGTGGATTTTTCGTATTACGTGTGTATGTACTGCCGATAGAAAATGAATCATCATGTTTTATATCATTTGGATAGAAAAACCAGCACATTGCGTCAACACCTCATTATCATAAAAACGAGTTGTAAATAAACAATTAAAAATAATTGGGGATCAGGTGTAAAGTATAGAACAAGTGACACAGAATACGGTATGTTATACATTTTTCACGGACGCTGCAGAGAATTACATCGAGATTTGTTCATGTTATTTGAAATCTCCAAAAATGATTGTGCTTAAAACGAGATAAATATGTACATATTTAATATATTCTGAATGCAAAAGTGAACAAACTTCTTATTATATAGAAAAGATTAAAGAAGAAGAAATATATTATTCTTCTCTTATTATATATAGGGAAAAATAATATAAATATAAAATTTTTTTTAAGCAATTTATATAATGTCATGTCAAAATTCAGGATAGAATTCTAATTTTGTAATTTTATGACGTGTAATAAAAATATTTGAAGAATCAGAAAACATGTAGAATTCATATATTAAAAAATATATAATATACTCGCGGAAAGTAAAATCATAAATAGAATTCTATTCTGAAATCTGACATGAATTATATAGATCGCTTAAAGCGGGACTTTAGAACGTACTAAGTTTTCAAAGAATGTATAAATAAGTAAATACTTGGAGACTGAATTCAAGGATTGAAATATTTACAAGTTGTTCTGGTATGTTTTAAACTAAATTAAATGTCGAAGACATACAGATACAGTTTGCGGGTAGACATGACGCGAATGTTCGCAACTCCCTGGCATTCCGGCAAGAAACACCGGCACAGATCGAAGGATTACATGCCGCTTAGCATTTCTGTCGTAAATTGAATGGGTCAATTTCAATCTGCAAATACGAGAACATTAAATTCTACGTATCACCATATGATAGTTCTCGATCACAAACATACGTTGCTCAATGAAATGCCGTTGATCCTACTCATCCTACCCATCACTGGCCTTCATCTCGTTATTTCGAAATCGAAGCTGTTCAATAGCTTCCGTCAATGGGATTGACCGTAACATCGAACTGCTCTCGTCAACGGATTATCGTGCCAATTCGTTTCCGGTACACATGCATTATCAAGTGAACCAGAAGAGATATATGTCTTGCACAATGCAGGTCTTGCGTCTGATCCATTTTCACTTCAACGAATTAAATGTGTAATAATTGGCACAGTTATTGTCTGATCAATTATTTAATGCACCTTTATTTATTTATAAGAAATTGAAAAAAATATTATAAATATCAGTTTTTAAGAGAAATTATATATCATATTATAAATTATTCTAAAACATAATATCAATTATGTGAATAAATATATGTAGGTATTTCAGAATGCGTATCATATTTTAAAAAATTAATAAATTATTAATTATTGATTAGATCTCTCTCGTCTAAAAAAAATTAGCAAAAAATAATTGCCTTGACGTTATCATATGATATAATTATCACGTTAATTAATACCAAATGCTTCGGTACTTTCTTTTGCAGAAATCAAAGATCCCTGCGAGAAGCTGAATTGCTCGCAAGGCTCGCAATGTGTGCGAAGCAGGGACGGCAAGGAGGCGACCTGCCAATGCTTGGAATCCTGCCCAAATTTAGGGGATCACGAGGGATCGGGACCTGTCTGCGGCACGGACGGGATCGACTATCCGACGCTGTGCGACCTAAATCGAGCTGCTTGTGAGAAAGGTGCTAACATCACCGTGGCATTTCGTGGCAAATGTGGTAAGTGCTTCTATAGAGAATATACGAGAGGAATGTCTCGAGTAAGCGGATTAAGAGAAATAACATGATGGCAGAAAAAATTGATTTGTAATATAAATCCTATTATTATCACAATACAATTTAAACAATTTGAATAAAAATGGATTACATGGGATATCTTATTTTCAAAGATAAATTTATGAAATATAAAGTTTCATTATAATTTTATAAATTATAATGTATAGCTTAAACATATTGAGTAGACAAATTGGCAATAAATTTCTATAAATTAAATATATATAAATATAGATAAATTAATAAATTAATATAAATATATATAGTTATAGCGTATTTTACTCTCGCTTGAATTGATTAAGACTAATGATTAATCATTACTGCACTAAAATAAATTAAAAGATTAATATATTTCCCCAAAGTAAATAAATCGAGATTAAAATTAATGTATTTCCATTAAATTTTAAGAATATCTCAAATATTCATGAACTATGATTCTTATGATACAAACGACACGAAATCTTTTTTTATATTAAATTAACTTACAAATATAATACGAATTAGATATCAATACAGTTTTATTTTATTTTGTGATAAAATCGACTTTGAATACGTATAAAATTATGCGCTGTTGTTCCCATATTGTACCACTCTTTAAATCGTTATTTCGCATTCACTCGTATTTTATTATTTGCCAACAAGTTACCAACATTCCAAACAATTCGCTAGTTTAAACACATCTGTTTAAAGGGCCGTTATTTATATTTTCCTGTAGAAAATATTTCGTTACAATTATTTGTATTTCCGTTACGATTTGTCAAGCGGCAAAGAGACACTCTTCTGATCAACCATCCCTAAAAGTTTTTTAGCTCTCTTTATCTACATCACTTCATCTATTTGCAGCATTCTCGCAGGAGATCAGGATCTCCTATAAAGAATATTTCACAAATTCTCTGCTCTCTTACAGAATTATTTATCAAAACTGGACTTAATCTTCTTTAATAATTATAATAAGTTATATTAAATATTAAATGAAAGTTGAAAAGAGGAAGTTATCTTTATCTTTTATAATATTTAAAATATTTTGTATCAAGTCAATCAGATGAAGTTTCCTCATGAGATTAATAAAAAATATAAAATATACTATATTAAGTTGCACTCACAGAATTTATTCTATCATGATGTCAATGTTAGGTTTTTAAATATTGATAACTAACGAAAATTATTGCTCTTAAAGAAGCTATACGCAGTCTAAATCATCCTACACATATATCCGCGCCTTAATTCCACGCTATATTCCACACAGCTGTCACCGTTCGTGTCCACAGGTAGTCGTACACACGCCCACAAATGAGTTCCCCTCATCTAACCTTCCCTTCTCTCTACCACGAAAGCAGTACAAACTTGGCAGGCGTTTAATCAACCGAGTAGTAAAGACAAATGTTTGATCAGACAGGTAGCTACCGGGAGTAGGCTGTGTTTGCTTAGGATTAGGTAAGTTCATCCTTACCGTTTTCCCTTCGTTCCTCCTTCACACCGGGTCTTTTTCATACCACTGCGCAACTCGGCGCGGTAGATAGTAACGGTTACGATAATCGCAGTCGCGGTTAACGAGCTAGTTAAATATGTCGTCAAATGGTTCCAATCTGCCTACCCTCTTTAGGAATAATCGTTAGGAACGTATCAGCGTAAAGGACTATATAAATAGTGAATTTAGGATGATTTGATAATGGAGAAATTCAGAGCAAAGTTGATGCTAGTTGTAATGAACTGCGTTTTAAGGACAAAAGCTATTCTACAGCGAATTTAAAAAATTATACGGAAAGAACTTTTGTTGAAATATCTAAAAATTTAGTTAGATATAAATTTAAAAATAATTTGATTGGACCATCAAAATAATTAGGACATTCAAGCATAATGATAATGATAAAAAAAACTTTTCTGGTAATGAATTTGAATGTTATAAATTATTTTGATAGTCCCACAAAATTATTTTCTGATTTGTACCAAACAAAATTTTAGATTTTCAGCAAAAGCTAGATTTTCACCAAAACTGTGTATAAATTTATTTTTCTAAGTAGGCATGTGTGTCTGCAGTGTGCAATTGATCTACGGTTTAATTTTATGTAGGAGACCAAAAATATATCCAGATGAAATAATGGTTAATATAATTATTTTCTGCTTAATTCCAATGTTTACAAATCTATTTTTATGCAGCATAATATGTGTATTGTTATAATATTTCTAAAGTATTAAAAAATTTTTTTATTAAAAGTCATAACTTTGTAAAACAGATTTTTTTCACGTGAATTAGCTTTTTACTCCTTCTTACTCTTCTCTGAAAAGTAATTTTTTAAAGTTTACATGACGGAAATAAGTGACTAGTGTAATTAATGGTTCAACATTACACTGTATAAACTGCAATTTTAATGCGTAAAAATTATGGATGAACTTTGAAAGGACTACACGGGAGAATGCACGCGAACCTTTATGACGAAGCATTAGAGCGTAGTTAAAAGTGTAGATATCTCGTGTTAGAATCGCACGCAGTAGAGTGTCGTAAATCCTACGAGCGTATAAAGAGCGATACTTGAAAATAATAATCTTTGTATCCGTATATATGTATGCCAGGTAAATCCGCGACGCTCGTCGTACGATGCAATCGTAGAGCTTAATAACAGTCCGTAACGTACACGGTAAAAGGAAGTGTAATAGAGACATAAAGGCGATGGAGGAATCGAAAAGGAGCGAGTTGCGCGCCGGAAGTTTACAAAGATGAACGTCTTCTCCTTTCGTTCCACTGTTTCTGCCGTTGTATTATACCAGGAACAATGAAGCGCAATATCCGGCCAGGAATGGTCGAAAGCGAATGACGAGGTGGAAGGCAAGAAGGCGAAGAAAGGAGGAGGAAGAGAAGGAAGAGAAGACTCAGAGTTTCCTCAGTCAGTTCTCCCGTTGGGCGGAAAGCCTATAGTACAACAATGGAGTTGCCCTTTTATCAATCGGCACCAGTTGCGACCCTTTTAAACGCTGGAATCAATAATAAATTCTCCTCAAACTGCCACCTCGCCTCGCAAAATACAGCATTCGTGAATTTTGCAATTCTCTCTCTCTCTCTCTCTCTCTCTCTCTCTCTCTCTCTCTCTCTCATCTCATCACATAGATGAAGGGTTGGCTCGAGGCATGAATCTGAAGTGACGGTACGACGGTACGATAAATCAAATTAACTCCCAAAAGTTTCGAGACTTTTCGATTCCCCTCCTCGCTCGCCGGTGCAGCTACTATTTTGCGGTCGTGATTGGATGGTGAAACGGAACGTGGAAAAAGAGTAAGCGAGATTGAACCTCCGCGTCTGAAACTCCGTGCAAGAGGGTGAAAACCTCCGCTGCAGAAGCAGCGATGTCGAGCCCGTCGTAATTACTGATTCCTTACATAAGCTACTTTTATTAGCATCGTAAATATAACATGAAGAGGAACAGTATACGGTGTTGAAGCATTTCTTGAAAGTTCCGACTTAAAAAAAAAAAAAGAATAAAAGAAAGTAAAATACTAATATATCAACTCGGAAGAAGAAAATCGCTGATCTGTCAGATCAGCAGCTGCGAATAAATCAAAAGTTCATTTTACATAAACGGAATCTACAATTGTATTACTTCTGCTGTTTTCTTCTAGTTTATTTCGATTATTCGTTTTTTATTACTGTCGAACGTAGCCACAATATGAATGTTTCAGTACCGTCTCGAATATCATACCTCTGCCGTCGGTAATGGCAACGTATTGATTAAATTTTTATTTCGCTTTCTCCTGGAAATATTTTCCCAACTCGCTTGCGCCTTGGTTCGTCTTCCGAGCGAGTTTCCTTCCATCGTAAAGAAAGCGGCGCCTCTATCATCTCTATACAGCTCTCTATTCTCTTCTCTTTCGCTTTCGTGAGACACCGCCCGCAAGTCGCTCCCGTCACGCATATCCAGCCTCGAGAAAAAGAAAGAAGCACGGTATTTTCTTCACGCTCGAACGTGCCGAAATAAGGGTCGACTGGGAAAAGGTAGAGCCTGCCATGAAGGAACGTCGGATTCCCGAGGCGTGGCACCTCAAAAATGGATTCAACTAAATTCTCACACTCGCCCGAGCCAGGGCTGAGACGTGCCGAGATGCGCTCGTTCTTGTACGAGGGCGAAAAAACGCCGAGAGGGACGCGTGGTGTAAACCCGAGACAAACCAACAAGCAAATGTGTTTATCTACGAGACCTCTTGCAAACGGGACTCAACGAGCCGGAAATTTCGGTGATGTCAGGTTCGAGAAAATGATTCTCAGACGAGGAAACGAACACACCTATACGTTGAGGCTTGAGATCGGCGCCGGCGAAAAAAAAAAGGGGAGCAACTGCCGGAAACGATTTCTCGCGCCGAAGGCTGAGCACAAGTTGACAAGAAACGAACGGGACGCAAGAAACGGTTGCAATCGGTTATCGATGATCGTGTAAGTGTCGATAGCGAGATTGCGTCGCAGCTGGATAGAAGCGGCAAGAACGGACGTTACCGTCGTTAAAAACCGGCGGTGACAAACAAGCTGCTACTCAACAGGATTCGCGCGAGTTCGATTACAGGTGATGAGAGAGGATATGAGTATTGCGCTCATCAGTCAGAGAGCCGCTAACGAGCTCTGATTACCATGCTTGTCGGCCCGGAAATATCATCGCTGTGAATTAGGTATTAATCATGTTGTCATATTATCACTAACGATCTAACGGATCTAATTCGCTAGAAACGAATGAAAATTGCGAAAGCGGTTCTGAAAGAAACTGCGAGGGACTATAATTTCCAATGCGGAAGAGCTTAAATTAAAAGAGATGAAGACACGATGTTCGTAAAAATTGTCTTAATTAAAAATCGGTACATATTTATAGCTAACAAAACATGGAAGTTGCATACATTCTAAAAAATATAGATGTGGATTTAACACCATGTGGTATTTATATAATTCTCACCATGTTGGTGTTAATGTTAATGGGGATTTAAAATCCCTGTTCATATCATGATGTAGATTTAAAACCCATAGTGTTTATATCAACTCCATTATGATGTGGATTTGAAACTTATGGTATTAAATTTACGCCATAGATTGATGTTTATATCATGTTTATATCAACACCAACATGATGAGAATTATATAAACATCGTATGATGTTAAATCCATATTTTTTAGAGTGTATACAATTTCCCTAATGTTTTGTTTGCTGTAAATATGTGTCGGTGTGTTAAATCCACACACACACATACTCATATTTTTTAGAGAGTGTATTTCAGTGCGGATCGCAACACTTTGAAATCCAAAGATTGATACTCTCGTGCTTCAACGGCGATTATTTATCGTCGACTATCAACCGCAACATCTCATGAAACAGGTATCGAGACAGCCGCTACTTTCTGGCCGTCTTTTGACACGCTCGTAAAAAACTTATCTTTACACGAGCAGGCGGCAATTTGTCCGCCTTGCACCGCCACTCGAATTCAGCCGAAATTTTACGTCGTCCGCAACCCCGTAAATTGCATCTTGTGCTCTTACGCTCATGTTTACGCGTTCGGGGCCTAAGTGGCGCAGAAAGAGAAAGAGAAAGAGAGAGAGAGAGAGAAACATTCACAGAAAAGGCTTACGCGGAAGACGAGAAATGGACGTAGATAGGTCGAAGAGAGGCGGCTGCGCGAAAGACAGACCGTACATCAAGCCGGAAGCACCGCGGAGGTGCCGTTAACATAAACCCAGTTATTGCTCCCCAGACATAATACCCTTATACCTACGCCTGCGTAATGTCAAACCGCGTCTCGTAGCTTCCCATAGTTTCCGAAGTCACGGACGAAAGAAAGGGCTTCCGGATGTTTTCCGCGACGCGGTCGAAACGAGCGTGAAGAAAAACCTCGACGAGAAACCTCGACGGGGTTTTAGCTCCAGGAGGGTTTATATCTTGTACATTATGGCTTATATGCCGTTTACCGTGCGCTTTATCCTGTTGAATTTTTCTCTCTTTTTTTTTATTTATTTAATACATAAAGATTCAGGAAAAAATATATATATATAGTCTTTCTCTCTTAAAATCTCATCGCAATTCGCAACGTCGTTTCCAGAGGCAAATTTGCAAACTGGTAAAATCGTAAAGCTACAGACGAAACGGATGATGCTGACTTGCTCTGTCCGTGGATGACGGCGACGGGCAATTTACAAGGCTTTTACCGAGCGCTGAGCGATTTTGAGATATTCCCGCTTGCAGTACTTGTAGAATGCGGGAGAGGTATGCGCACGGTATCTGCACATGAAAGGAAGGCGTCTAAAAAGGATCGATATTTGCAGTTGCTTTAGCGGAAGTAACTAGGATGCACTCTCGTATGTACATAAATCGGTTGCCTCGCGAGCATCTCTTCTATCCGATAATCACCTCAAGGAATGGTCCTCAATTCATCAATTGGTAAATCGAGAATCTTTTGAGAAACTTGTGTTTTCTTATTAGAATGAAATGTTCTTAAACCATAATTTGCTACACAACAGCATATCTCGCGATTATATGTACACTGAGAAAAAAGTGTTCTGTATTTGTGACTATAATTGCATAGTAAAATAATTAGGATTGGGAACATTTTTATAACCATAAAATATTATAGTAATAATGATTATATTTATACATGAAAAGAACGGTTTTGCTGAAGTATCTAAAAATTTAACTAAATACAGGTCTGAAAATAATTTTGTTGGACTATGAAAATAATTTATGGACACTCTCAAACAGTTTCTAGAATGTTAAAACTTTTTACAGCATTGTTCATTATGCTTGAGCGTCCTACATAATAGTTTTGATAGTCCAACAAAATTATTTCCAGATCTGTATCTAGCTAAATTTTTAGACTTTTTAGCAAAATTATTTTTTCCATAGTTAAATTATGGTAATTATAACAATTTTTTCTCTCAGCGCAATATTTCCAAAATTATTACCCATAAATAAATTGATATTCCTGTCGCGTCTCTTTCCTTCGCTAAATTAAATGATAATTCTCCAATAATACAAGGAATGTGCTCATCAGTCACTCGCGTCGCGATATACCGCATCGTGTCGCCCGTCTTTGCACACGTTCCATGGGAGATTCCAGCCGTCGAACAGCAAGTCCGTCGTCCATACTGAAAAGGTCTTCCGACGACTTTCACGTCGTAGCCCAAGCCCGATAATACAAAGAAATCCGCATCAGGGTAATGTCGCGTGAAGTTAACGCGCCGGCGTAACCATCCTCATACTCTTGCTTTCCCCCCAAGGGATCGGATCGTGGCCAGTGTTTCGATGAAGGCTGCAGACGGACGAACGGGAAAGAAGCACGGTGAGAAATCCCATTAAAGCACTGAGATCTTGAAAGGGCGCGATGACATCGTTCTATCTCGTCCGATGCAAGCGATAGAAGCGATATAAGGACCTTTCCCCATCGCACGGAGATGGAATTACGAAGCGATGAAAAGGGTGGCGAGGAGTATTCTCGTCGTCCATTAATGGTTAATCATCTCGAGATGTTTGAACGGAATGATATATGGATGAACGACAAATAAAAGTACTTGGGGGGGGGGGGGGGGGGGGGATTAATTACCAAGAATATTTGAATAGTGAAAGGATAAAACGACAATACTGGTCATCTTGCAATTGATGGTGTAACAATACTTTTCCCCAAGATCGATTAGTGCTAAATTCAAACTAACTGAAACACCGACGAAGGAGAACGCCCGGGTTTGAGTTACGGAAGGGTCGAGTTTAGTCGCTCCACTGGACTGTAACTCGAGCTAACGCCGAGAAACACCACCACTGCTGGGGGAGAACTTGCCTCGTCAGCTGCTGGTATATAAGGCCGAAATCTAGCTACCGCCTGTAGACAGGAAACGGAATCTAACTTCCTTCCTTCCTTGGTCGAGGGCGAAGATTAATCTCGGTACCGTGTCTCCTCCAACTGGACCATACGGTCCTTACGACCTTCCATCATTATTCGCCTAATGTTATATAGGTTCTCTCGATTCTCGTATGCAAATAACTCATAAAAAGAATCACAAGAAGGTTATTTAAATTCATTCGATTTCGCCAGGATTAGTAGTAATTCCCGAAATGAGATAGAAGAGCCGATGGAATGCAAATGAAACTTTTAACGCGCGGATCATTTGATCAATCCTTATAATAACTCACGAAGTTAATCCTATAATTGAGAGATAATTAAGAATCCCTTTGCTAGGAGTAAATAAAGTAGAACTAAGGAAGAATAATTTTCCTCTTTAAGGAAAATTAAATGTTTTTGTAATGCTTTCCAGGAAGCTGGAGAGGACTCTATTTATTCAGCATAATTAATCAGTATAATGCACGCCATCATTTATCCCACATATGATTGAATTCGTGCTTTTCCCGATAATTTATTTTATTGTGTGTCGATACTGTTAATTGCGAATTAATTTTCCAGATCCATGCGGAGGCATCGAGTGCTCAAAACCAGAAGTCTGTCAGCTGGATAGTTCGAGGCAACCAGTCTGTCGCTGCGGGGAACAATGTGGCCTGGAACTTTCGCCGGTTTGCGGAAGCGATGGCAAAACATATTCGAACGAATGCAACCTTCGACAGGAAGCCTGTCGCTCGAGATTACCGCTCAAGAAAATCTACAACGGTGCATGCAGTTCCGGTAATAAAAATCATTAACATATTTTACTCGGCATGTGAGATACAACGGCAATAGAATTTTCAGAAAATTGTATAAATTGCCTTCCTGCATGTGATTAATTGTTGCACAGTAATGAATAATTTTAATTTATGATCAATAATTATACGAGGGGCATCCTAAAAGTAAGTTTCCCCATCATATGAAAAAAAATTGGTTAATGCGAGTAACTTGTACATTGTAAGTTTTCTTTTGGAGTATATTGGTAATATTTTTGCACTCAGAATTGCCTTCGCTGCAATCATTGTTAGATGAGCGAATCATGGAGATGCTAATACAAGACGTGTTCGACTGTGAATTACGTGCGGTAATTCGGTTTATGATTTCACAATATCAATGGTGACGTTGAAAAGTAACAAGGATCAAATTAATGAAATAAAAAGTTTTATAATTGTCCTATGTTTCATTTTACTTTCCTACGATAGGCAAACTTACCAGTGTGAAGTTGGCCCCCAACTTTTGAAAAAATTAACTTTCCATAGCTCATTCGATTGCATTTATGTAATATATTGGGAGAAAAGTGGTTGTTAATTGCATAGTAAAATAATTATGGCTAAGAGCTCCATTTTTATAATTATTACTTTTATGATACTAATAATAATTATATTTCTAGTTCTACAAAAAATATATAGTTGGCACCGAAAATGATCATAAATTATAGATAAAAATATATAGTTGACCGTAAATAAATTATGGTAATTGCGACTATTTTTTTTCTCAGCATAATTTTATAAAAATTACAAATAATAATTACGCAAACAAATCAATAGTCTCTCGAATTAATTAATTTTTTTATTATTTATATAACTATCCATGTTTTAAACAATCGTAGACAAAATATATGATTTCTGAAATGTTCTATAAAAGTAAGAATAATCGTGACATAAGTCGTACGATCGTTCGATTTCACAGGACAAAATCCCTGCGAAGCAGCAAAATGCAACTTCTACGAGCAATGCACGATCAATCGGCAGGGGATCGCTAATTGCGAGTGTCGTCCCGACTGCGAGCCGATAATGAGGCCCGTGTGCGCCCGCGGCGGAACAACCTACACGTCCATGTGCGAGCTAAAGAGGCAGGCGTGTCTGACGAGGAACAACATCGAGGTCGCCTACGTCGGCACATGCGGCTCCAGAGGACCCTGCTCCGAGAAGGTCAGTCTCAGCTAGTATCTCACGTACGGAAACACGAGGCACGTTCGCGGTTTCCGCTTCCGTTTCCGCGCTCGGCGCGACGCGAGCAAGATTTCTTGTCGGATCCTCCGAGTTTCGACGATATAAATTACTGCTCTTGTTGAATACATTACGATTCAATTTTTTTGCAATTTATATCACTCGTTTAGTTATTGTATTGCTTGTTGCATATTATTAGTTACTTTAAATAGGTCTGTGCCTTTTTTTTATATTAATAGCGTTTTTTTCACATTGGTACACTTTTCGTTTTTTATAGTCTGCGCATATCTTATTTTACTTTTCTTTTATACACCCAAAGCAGCACAATTACGTTTAAAATACGAACGTTAACAATCGTATCATAAACATACAAACTGAAAAATAAATGTTTAAAATATGATACGATTTTTAAATTATTTAGTAAATGTTATAAAAATGTATGTGAGACGTAACGTCGGTAACGTACATTAAACAGTTTTTTATTTGTTTAAAATACTAGTTAAAAATATTATTTATTTAAAATAAAATAAATAATATTTTTATACATTTCACGATTTTATGAAGGTTTAATAAATGTAGATCTATTTAATGTTTTTATTACAGCATAAAAAACCGTTTCGGCTAAATGTTTTTTAAACGTAAATTGTTTGCTTGAATACCTTTCTGCAATAAATACTGTGTCGACTCAATCTAGATTTACTTCCGGTTTAAAAAAGAATTAACACATTCAATGCGTGTGTCGTTTGAGGATAATAGATACGTATAATAATTTTGCTCAGCTATAATAGCTTTTTTTAGGAAAAACATTTCGATGAGCTACAATCTAGTTTGTGGATATTTCATTAAAAACTATTTCGTTATATTCGAGAGATTGATTAAATGAATACGTCATGTAAAGCACAACCAATGTAATTGATGTATAAAATTTACAACAGGAGATATTGGTATAAAATATTCTTGATATATGTTTGTTTCAATGAAATATCGCGCGCGCGCGGACACAGAAAAATCTAAAATAAATTCTGTGAAAGACGGCGGAAATAATTTTTAATAATTAAAAGTTTAAATTATCACAGATAAATCATGTCGGTAATGTTGACATGGATTATTTTCAATTTTATAAAAAATAACGTGTTGCTATTTAAAGCGCGACACAATTTAACTAGATTTAAGTTACAAACGTCATTGGTCTACAAAACAAGATTCGTAATCGACACCGAACTCACTCGCGAAATGGAAATTGCTGGATGTATTCACCGCAGAAATTGGAAAGGATCAAGAGCCCGATGGAGTGTGGAGGGAATTTCCTCTCTTTTACTATTTCTCCCTCTCGATACTTTCTCGATTCCCTGCGAAATTCGAAAGCCCGAGGTGAGATCTTCACCATTTCGACGAGCTCCTTCGCCAAAAGCAATTGTCACTAATTGGATGACGCTGTGCCGGATATCTCCGTGGGAAAGCTAGTAGATACTAGCACGAAAAGGAACGACGAGAGATCGAGCTCGATGAATTTCAGGAAGACATTCCTGTATTGAGTTTCTCATCCCATGTATTTCTCATGAACGACTTTATGGGCTATGATATTCTCGATACAGTCGGCAAACTTTCCATTATCTAATTTATTCTTTGTTTACATTTCCACTGTATTTGCGTTTGCCTTAATTTAAGATACATTATGACATTATATTATATAGAAAAAAGAACAAATTATCGAATTGTAAGATGTACACAGAATGATGACATATCTAAAAATTTAGATAGATCTGAAAATAATTTTATAGCACCATCAAAATAATTACGTGCAAAATTTAAGCATGATAAGCAATATATTGTAAAAAGTTTTGACATTTTTGCAACCAGCTTAAACGTCTTGTATAATTAGTTGATAGTAATAAAATTGTTTTCAAATCTGTATCTAAATAAATTTTTAGACACTCCAACAAAACTATTCTTTTCATATAAATTATTTATGTTAGTAATAATAATTATGTTATAAATTTATAAGCATTTATGTATCAATTTATCATCGATTTAGCATCTTAAAAGATCGTGATGCTAAATTAAAAAGAAGGAAACAAGATGAACGACGGCAATAGCTTTTCTTGTTGTATAACGGTACATCACATACACAATCTCATGTATGACTATTTGGTTCGCAGATGTGTCAATGGGGCGCAATTTGCGCGGAGATCGCCGGCAATGCTGTGTGCGAATGTCCGACTTGTCCGGCAGAATTTCAACCTGTATGCGGCGATGATGGCATCAGCTACAGCAACGAGTGCAAACTTCGCTTGGAGGCATGTCAGCATCGACGGGAGATACGCGTTTTGTATCAAGGATTATGCAGTGAGTATCTATCCAAAATAAATTTAAACAAGGGCATACGTCATGCCTATAATGCAGTTATCGGTAATTACGACTGATTAAATATCTGATTCCAAAACAAATAGATAATTGAAATACTCTCGATAAGTTAACCCCTAAACGTTACCAACCCAATTCGATTGCTTATAACTTTCATAAAAATGAATACATCAAATATCAAATATTAAGGAATATGATGGTACTAAGCAAATATATGCACCTTTATTAATAATAAAGTTATAAGTAACGAAAAAAGCATTGTAAAAAAAGCTAGATATATCATATGTACCTAAAAGATATTTAAAGATTAAATTAATAAAACAATAGGAGCCAAGCATTGCAGTTATTCACAATATAGTCTGTATAATAATACACTCAAAAAATAAGAGATACGCTTCAAGTTTTATAATCAATGTTAAATATTGATTATAAGGAGAGGAGAATGTGAATAATAACCCCAAATAGAAATGGAAACCTTCTCCGTTTTAAAAGAAAGAGTTTCTGACGTATTTTAATGTAATATAACGAGACAATCTAATAATATAAAGGTAAAGCGACTGAAAACATTTTAAATTGCAATATAGTTCTTAAACTAAAGAACCACAGCTGGTTAATGTTAACTTTCCAGCAAATTTTTCTCGTTTAATTTGAGCGTATTCAAATTCCAATTTTCACTTTCTAACAGCTTCCTTTGTTTCGTTTAATAATTTTGTGTCCATTCAATCGCCCGTTCTTTTGTCACGGAGAAAATATATTGCCAGCAAATTAATCTCTTAAATAGATCCCGCAGAGTCCTTCGAAGGGTGCTCGAATTAATCACATAAAATTCTGAATTCTCAATCTGGCGGATTGTTCCACATTAAGCGCTCTTATCGGCACTAATATCGAATGCGAAAAATAATTTCCAACTCGCGGCGGGGCGTTAAGAGAACAAATCTGCGATTTTAATATGCCGGAGTGGTCGGACAGCAGGGGTTAATATACGGTCGCGTAACCGCCCCGGCAGCGGCGGTAACTTAAAACTTGCTACGACTAATTTGAATATCCGGCCCGGGTAAATTGAATTTATAACGGATTTCTGAACGATCTTAAGTAGCGCGGCGGCATGAAACTTGATTAACGTCGATCGCCTTGCGTGTTCCCCCAGAATTAAACATCGATCGACCGTCCACCTGCACATTTGCTTCCTCATGTTCGATACGACGCGATAAAACGACCGTAAAAATCGGCACTGATTTCAGAAAAGATATGAATTATGATTCCAAACCGCATCAAGGTATCCCTCTAATTTTACGATCCCTAAATAAGATCGATCTAATTACTTTCCAACGCACTGAAATGTCGTACGTTTTATTAGCGTTTCTTTCGAGAATACGTATGATATAGGTGCCGCTTTTGATAAAGCTGTGCTTCATGTCAGATATTTTCAGCGATACTACTCATGCAGCGGAGCATTTCTTTTCTTCCCGTTTCCTCCTTCACAATAGGAATTCCGGGCGATATCGTAAACAACTTCATGCATACTGCACTCGACGATGCATCATCGCGGCTGCACGCGAGCTCGCGCTATTAATCTTCATTTTATTATTTTCTACGATGCCTTTAATAACGACGCCGTGCTCTCCGCCGATCCTGGGAGGGCGGGAAAACGGGAGAAAGGAGTGAGCGAGATTTCATCGACCGTGTACTTTACGACGTTGGCTCCTACCCTGCAATTTCATTCTTATTAATCTACCCTTCTCCCACTCTCTCCCTTCCCCTGTCTACCGACTTCGATATTCCAGAAGCTATTATTAGGACCGTGGTCTCAAAAGGACGCAAATTCCTGAGCGATTTTCCGTTCTGTGCCTCTTTTCGTAGCATTTGATAAATATTGCACTTCAATCGTTTTCCGATCTGCGTATTCATTCAAATTTTATCACAGTGCAATTTTGATTACAGCAATGACATGATTGTAACTTTCTCGTGATAAAACCTAAATATTAGGTTTTATAACGTTTTTATCAGTTCTTATAGGCAAGAAGTTAAAGTGCGTCAACTTGTAATTATATGTGCGATTCTGAAGAAAAAGTTTCATATTAAAGTGCAAACTTATAAAATATCGTTCCCTTATTTCAAAAGTAATACAACGCAAAAAATTTGATTTTCGAGTAATTGCTATGAATGAGTTAGATAAATATTAATCATCAAAAGTGAACTAACTTAACTTCATAAATTTGTTAAAATATCACAGCTCAAAAAAATGGTGTTTTAAGAGTTGTGAAATGAAAATGACAGAAATAACATTTGCTTATGTTAAGAGAATAATTTTTTTTGCTGATATTATTTGATTAGTCTAATAACTTAACTGACAATTTAATTTTTTTAGTTATCACTTTTTGGAAGTAAAGGATATTTAAAATAACTTTTTTTAATTTGTGGACCAAGAATTAATATACAATTACAATTAAATTATTATAATCAGTCCGCGATAATTAAACATTAAATATTATACTGTTAAATATTTAAATGGCATTATATGCTCTCGAGAATATTCTGTTAACAGTCATTTTTCCTCTCCTGTAAAAATTAGAGTACTTCCGCAATTAAGCGAGGGAAAAAAATTATTTGCCTTTCTTCCTTTCCCTGATTTTATCCTTCATCTCTATAAAAACTACTCGCCAACGAAGCGCTTTTCAACATGAAACAAACGCACGACTCAAGCTGGTCTCAAGGAACAGTTGCACGATGACATTCGGTGCTCATTTCCAACGCAAATCATTCATATTCGCACAAGCATTCCTTGATAGCTCTATGTAATCGCAAATGTCTAAATTATGTAGAGTGTTCTAAAATCACACTGGGGCATACATTTCAGAGATACGTGCAAATATTGAATAGTAAATGAAAATTATTAAGGTTTGTAAATAAATATCTACTTATCCATATTATCTTAGTTCATTATATGCATATATATGTATATACATACATATATTATATATATGAATGTAATTAATAAAAAAAAATATAATATATATAAATAAAAATAAAATAAATAAGATACAATATACATAAGAATTAAGATAAATAAATGTTGTACCATTAAAATACACAAAGATTAATGCAGCAATTGATGAGAAGATCAATTTAGGATACAAACTTTTCGGATATACTCGTGTTTGCGTCTTGCGGCCCAGCGCAGGAATAAACCGTAACATTTCTGATTTGCATCTTTATTAAAAAGTTCCACTTGTCGGCATACAACGCGAACAAGCACATTCCGCTATCAAACGGCAGATTTATCAAAAGCTCACGCCAGCGGGGATACGTTCAAACAGCGATTCCATCAAACCAGTCAACCCTACCGTCAGTCCCCTCGACTGACGGCTCTAAAGCTTAGAGAATATAAAATCGCGTACTCGCGAGAGTTAGTCTAAACACAAACAGTAATTTCCATCACAAAAATCTGATGAAATGGGATGCCGGAACGATGGTGGGTGAAAGTGATCTTCTCTAGAAAGGAGCATCTACGACGCGATGAAAACCTATGCCAAGGTTTATCGAACTTTCCTCATATCATACCTTCGGTGAACGCGTCGAAAAAGATTGCCTTGCTTTTAATATTGAAAGAACACGTAGCTTAGGAATTTGAAAACATAAAGGGGAATGTAAGAGTAGAAATTGGTAGAATTAGTTAAGAATGATAATAAAATTTTGTAAGAGTTTGCTATAATAACATTTCATATTATAGAGCACACACATTATATGAAATTAATATAATAATATTTGGTTTCTGAAAAGGAAAATATATATCTATATACGTATACATATATATTTTTTATATTTTATTATATATATTTATATTTTTTAAACATATTTCAAATTTATTTTATGTTTATATATATATATATACACAAAACTTGTAAATATATTAAAACGTACTTATAAAATACCATAAAAATATATATTACATTTTTTATTACATTATATCAAACATCTATTTTATCTTTTTCAAAATTCGAATATTGCTATATTTTGATTCTTTATCTAATCGTTTCTATATCGTTTCCATGCTCGTAAGATCGAATATACCTATTCATGTCCTTAGAGATCGAACATACATAGAAATTTCATGCAACGTCCTATAATATTTATTCACAATAAGTTTCCAGTGATAACAGAATTGCATTATCCGAGCTGGTGAAAGTTTCAAAGGGTACACGATCTCCTATAAATCACGGAGAGAAGAGGAGACGATTTCCATTACCAATCTCGAATTCGCATTAGAAATCGACCGAAACGTGCTGTAGAATTCGGTTTCGTGCACCGCCTGCTACACGGCGATTTTGCGACGTTAGTTGGCTGTTCCATGGCTGGAATCATATGAGTTGTTACCCCGCGGCATGCACGCTGCATATGCATACATTTCCTCACACTCTCATTGTTCTCTCTCTCTCTCTCCCCCCCCCTCCCACCCCTTCTCTTTCTCCTTCATCCTTCACCTCCTCTAGTATGTGACTTTCCGCTCACAATTGTCTCATTTTTAAGCTCGTTTTTAAGAAAGTCAGAGGGAAATCACCCCGAGCCGCGAGTATCATCGACAACACATCAACGATGATAGGATGAATCTCTCTCATATTCTACCTACTTGTTTCTCCATTCCAACCGCCCTCCCTCCGCCATGAATTTCAATAAATTCTAAAGATAATTTCGAGACTAGCAAGCCACTACCATCATTCTCTTCATTCTTTTCATCCTTCCTCGACTCCTGCCGGCTCACATTCTACCGGTATCACCCTTTGTCTCGGCCATCCTTCTCTCCTCTGAGCCACCCCTTCCACCCACTGCCGTGAGAATTCCATTCGAAACGGACGCCGTTATGCAAATACGCGAGAATCTTTATTAATGTTATCCTGAGGCAGTCCTCTGACCGGTCCGCTTCCGCCAGGAAAAGTGGCCAAGGGATAGCGCGTGATTAGTAGCCCCAGCGAGTGTCACGAAACCAAAGGAATGCGTTAGTCGAATCTGCATTAAACTTACATAAAGCCGCCATTATAGATTTTCAATTGTCAACAATCTGTTCACAGATGGCTGCGAGAATAAGAAGTGCGAATTCTACAGCGAGTGCGAAAGCGATAACGGCGGAGAAGCCAAATGCGTCTGTCCTTCAAAGTGCGAAACTGCGGTAAGTTTGTGAAAATTGCATTATTAATTTAAAAAATTTATGAATCTGTAATAGTGATAATTAATTTTAATTTTTTTGCGCGGTGTGTCTCAGACATTTCAAAGTTATCGAGCACGTTGAAAACAAAGAGCCTGTATATTTCTAGTTTTCCATATTTCTACGTAATATTACATGAGAGGGAAGAACGATTTTGTTGAAATATCTAAAAATTTCGCTTTAAATTTAGACGTTAAAATGATTTTGTTTTGGGCCATCAAAATAATTATATAAAACGCTTAAACGTTGATAATAATGCTGCAAAAGTTTTAATATTTTAGCAACCAGTTTGAACGTCCTACACAATTATTTTGATGGTTCAAACAAAATTATTTTCATATCTATATCTAGCTACATTTTTAGATATTTCAGTAAAATCGTTCTTTCTGTGTATGCATAAATTAATAAAGCCATCACACACAAATGCATTACAAATATTCTAATGAATAACGCGTAAATATATCAGGGTAGCGTATGACGCGCTTATAGAATATTAAATCGAATGTTTAGATCGTTCAGAATTGTCATTTGCATTCGTGCCATTTCGATCATCGAAATTTTATAAATGTCACGCCTGTCTTATTGTATTTCTGCGAAAATATAACGTTGAGACAAATGGTTCTCAATCCGATATTGACAGCTTCTTGCAAAATTTCAAATTCAATAAATCATATCGGCATTATATGTATATATTTTCCGTATTGTAATAATTCTTTTAAATAAATATTTGGATTAATTCTCTTTATAACTGAAAAAGAGAGAAGACTCTTCTTTACAGAATAAATATGTTTGTAGTATTTTTTATAATTATTATAATAATTATAATTAAAAAAAGTATTTTACGTTAAAGTCAATTGATACGCAAAATTAACGAAATTCTGATAAATGTTGTACTTTGCGCTCTTTAGCTTCTTTAGAAATATTCTGTATTTGTCCGACAAAAGATAATGTAAATCACATTGCCGTTTTATCGAAAAATTTATAAATGTGTCAGATATATATAACGCAAATATTTAACGAACATAAAGTAACATTCAAAAGACTCCGCAGTAATTATATGGAAAATTGGGTCCCGATAAAATAAATCAGTTTCCGTGTAACGTCAAATTTCGTAAATGTAGCTTATATAATGCGGTGAATAAATTAAAAATGAACATAGAGACAAAACTCAATATATAATGGATAATTTTCGAGCTATGGCGTATCAAATGTGTAACTTGTATTCACAAACCACCTTCGTATATCATAACTCAAAAATTATCCATTACTGAGTCTTTTATATCTATGGCATCTTTTGTTCATCACATTATAAATTATACATATGTAAATTATTTTATATATGTAAAAACTAATTCATATTTCACCCAATTTTCCATAATTGATGCAAATTCCTTTGCCTATATAAAAAAATATTCTCCTCCTATAATGACACTTCATATGATTTCTCTTTTTTTATCAATTCTATCTCAATACAATAAATTATGTAGCGATACAAAAATAATCTAGCGATATTGATATAATTAATCAAAGATCAAAACCAATTTTTCTATCAAAAAAGAATGAATGCGGAATATGTTTCGAGATGCTCGTGGCGATTCGCCACGCCAGGGTTTCCTCGTTAGCGTAACCGACATAAAATATTCATTCACGATGATGAATGTCCTGCTCGCGCCTGCACTCGTGTATGCATTCTCGGCTAGCAACGATATTTCGCGTTTCCCCCAGATCGTTCAATGTTGCCCGCTGCAAGAGCAGAAAGCCGCTTCGTTAGGTGCCGACATGAGAGGGGAAGAGGAAGAAAGAAGGGATCGAGTACATTTGCATACGCTATTTTCAGAACTTTTCATCAACGGCGTGGCGTTTCGCAACGCGGCCAGTTTATTATATTCTTCATTTGCGACATGAATGACGTTTTCATGTTTCATTAGGCGACAATAGTCAATAGCTCTTTCACAAAACATCGAAAATTTCAGCGGTATTTCAAGGCGTCGCAATGTGAAGAATGAACAGAGAAACATGCGTGTGAAGAAAGAAATTTAATTAACATTTTGTTCCTCCTCGTCCATATAGCTTTGTCGGGTGTCCGATATGTTTTACCCTTCGATGCGTGCTATGAATGTATTTAGCGAAGGAATTCTAAATATATTATGACAAATCATTATTATGATAATTATTTTCGCAATACACAAAAATAACAGTTTTGCTGAAATATTTAAAATTTAGCTTAGTAGATCAATTTTATTGGTCCAAAATAATTATGTGACACTTAAATTGATTGTTAGAATGTCACAATTTTTTACAACATTGCTCTCATGCTTGGATTTTCTCCATAATTATTTGGATGGTCCAACAAAATTATTTTTAAATCTGTAGCTAACTAAATTTTTTAATATTTTAATAAAATCATTCGTTTCGTATGTACATATACGATACTTGCTATAAAGATTCATACGATCCGCATTAAAATCTTTACGTCTGAGATTACATGTAATGTAGATTACACGTAATGTAGATTACACCTAATGTATGATAAAAAATAATTATATCATCAAACTTCCAACGAATCGGTTTATTTTCTTGCAATTTTTGAGATGATTCTCTCATGCTTATATTATTTCCGCTTATTTTATAACTGCTTGATAGTAACGATTTGATGCGCGCTGATACATTAAAATCCGGTTCGTTTCCACGAAACTTCAATCTCCGCGGATTTATTTACCTCTCTCTCTCTCTCTCTCTCTCACTCTCTCTCTCTCTCTCTCTATCCCGGATCGATTTCCGATAAATAATTTTTTGTATCCGGTTGCACGCGTGGATATTACAGTCTCTTTCTCCTCCTATCTCTCGCGTTTCCCGGCCCGTCACGGCGATCGTGCATTCAGAATGGAAAGCATGTTGGTTCATCAAGATAGCGGCTCCGCGGAAAATTCAGCCGATTTCGACAGGCGATAGGCGAAGTGGCTCAGATTTCACGATTCGCAGAGCGTCCTGCTGACGAGACGGCGAACAATTCCGAATTCCTTCGATGTCGCTCCGTGGTCGTCCGTGAGGAGACCTGGAGCGGAATAAGGGATGCATTCAACGTCGGGGAAAAAGAGTTGAGAAAAGGATTAGATTGGCAGGCTTCGTATTGGAACCTTGCGAACGACTTCCGCAGGGTACTCTTCCGGGAGAGAAAGTCCACTCGCCAGTCGGTCATGGATGCTTATTGGGGAGTATCAGTGAGTCGACGACGCGATCTCTCTGCCCACAATGGAAATTCCGAATTCCACAGAGAACAACGCGAAATCAACGGCGCAGTCGACAGGAAGTCGTTTAAATTACCGGAATATTAATTTCTGATACGCGTTAAATTTTTCAAATATTTTTGTGCAAAGCAATGTAATACAACATTTTTTCAATCTTTTTCAATTTGTGGCACATTAAATAACTAGATAATTTGTCAAAATACATCATTAGATACATGCTTCAGTACTCAGTCTTTTATCAGATACCGTTAATATGAAATAAATAGCAAAATTCTAAAGTTTAGTATTTATTTTATTGTTTTAAAAAATGATTTTGTTGCAACGACAGTATCATCGTTTCAATTAGAATGAGAGTAATCATAATATAATTTAAATAATTTTCACAATTTAAAAAATATTTTTATTTTGCGCCTCACTCGCTTTATTATTTATTTCTAAATTTTTCCGCTTCATTTTACCTTCTCTTAAAATTTTCGTAATATACTTGAAGATCCTTTGTGACCCACCAATTGAAAAACCCTGTGATAGAGAATTATCGGCAAAGTCATCGCCATGCTCTTTCAGAATTAAGAGTTGCCAACTGCATGATGGATTTAAGCAGACAATTTTATTCCTAATTTGAGGTAGAATAATTGTAGAGAACAACTCATACAATAATCCTCTTAATGAAACACGAACCACGAGTCCGCGTATGCACGCGGATTAACCTCAGAAAATGAGCTGACTGACGTCAATTAAACTTAACAGGGAACCAACTAAATCGTGCGGACG